CCTCTATCTCTTGTCCCTGGTTACCCCAGCACCCACTGCTCTCCGTCCCCCGGGCCCCAGTCACCCATCCCCGCGACCTCAGCTTCCCCCTCCCAAGACGCCGGTCCCTCACCCCAGGGTAGGCGTCCTTGGCGAACACCTGCAGCAGCGCCGTCTTGCCGCACTCCGCGTCCCCCACCACCACGATCTTGCAGCGGCCGCTCTGCCCCTCCATGGTCCCGGCTACGCGCCGGCCCCCCGCGCAGCCCCCCTCCCGGGCCNGGCGAAGTTCGGAGGGGTAGGATGGGATCAGCACACTCTTAAGGTTCGGGCCTTTTGCGTGCCCACGCGTGCACTCCGGTGTGCTAGTGCGGACACGCGAGGCGGCAACCACCCACTTCCTGAATAGGAAGAGGCTCGAGATGGTAGGGGAAGGAGGGAGTCTTTTGGGTTCAGTCTCCCTCCTCCATGCTCAGGTCCCTGCAGGAAGTCTTGGGATTAGGACGGTGTAGACTCCGTCACCCCAACCAGGAAAATGGTGACGTCATGGCTTTCCGTCCCCATGGCAACGGATGGCCCAGTCTCGGGCTATGGTGACTTAAGGACCGGCATGGACTAACAGGGAGGCAAGAATGAGTCTCTCCAGCCAAGCACAGGGTGAAAAGTTTTGGGGGAGCTGCGTCCTCTGGTGGATATCTCGGGGAGACAGGGGGAGCGAAGAAGCGGCAGATCAAATTGCCCAGAGTGACAGCCCTGCTGGAGCCAGAGACAAGCTCTAGTCATTTCAGGCTTGATCCGAAATCTAACAATAATCGAGCTACTGTTTTGCATTTGTATGACATCTTTTACCTTTTGTTTTATTTCTTTATTATTATTTTAAAAATATATCTGTATTGATTTCAGAGAGAGGAAGGGAAAGGGAGAGAGAGCGATAGAAACATCAACGATGAGAGAGTCATTGATCAACTGCCTCCTGCACTGCCTGGCACTGGGGATCAAGCCCGCAACCCGGACATGTGCCCTGAGCAGGAATCCATCCGCGACATCCTGGATCCTAGGTGGATGCTCAACCGCTGAGCCATGCCGGCCTGTCATCTTTTACTTTTTAAAAGCCCTTCTTTACATCGGGGAGACTCGATTTAATTTTATCTTTACCCTTTACCAAGCAACATCTCCACCATTTCACAGAAGGGAAAATTGAGGCACAGAGTTTTAATCATCAAAAATCAAATGGAAAGTTTTAAAGACTCTATCTCCCTGCTCCAAGTTAGCCACTGATAGACCACGCGGAACGGGTCACTTATGGATAGAATCAGAGCCTGAGGAACAACTTGGTTGGGTTCTGGTCCACAGGTGGCTAGCTCTCCAAATGTCAGCGCAGGTTTGGGGATCGTCCTTCAAACTGCCCCTTAACATATTTTTTAACTTGCGTAAGGTTTATTATGTAAATTAAATCGCGATCTGCATGACTCCAAGAATGCCCTAGCGTGTGTCTGTACGCAGACATTCCTCGTCCCCACTTTTCACAACCCGGCAGCACCCGCACTGTGGCCCTGGCTCTTTAAGGGGCCCGCCCCTGGGCAGGCGCCCCGCCCCTTCTCAGAGTCCGCAGCCGCGGCTCAGCCGGACTCGCGCTCCGCCCTTCGCAGCTGTACACCCTTCGTCCAGCTGTGTGCGCACGTCGTGAGTCCCAGCCATGTCCNGTCCCAGCCATGTCCGCCGAGAGAGAGGTAGCCGAGGTGGCCACCTTGGTGGCGGCGGCCGAGGCAGGGGCAGTAGAGGAAGCCTCTTCGCCGCCCCCGAATGCCGCAGCAGCGGGCGACGCCCCCGCACCCACGGCCTCCGAGGGGGCCGCCGCCTCGCAGCCGCGGCTGCGCTCTCTGGTGCTCACTGGCTTTGGCGGCTACGACAAGGTGAAGCTGCAGAGCCGGCCGGCCGCGCCCCCGGCCCCCGGCCCCGGGCAGCTGACGCTGCGCGTCCGGGCCAGTGGGCTCAACTTCGCGGACGTTATGGCCCGGCAGGGGCTTTACGACCGCCTGCCGCAGCTGCCCGTCATTCCGGGCATGGAGGGCGCGGGAGTCGTGACCGCGGTGGGCGAGGGAGTCAACGACCGCAAGGTAAACGGACCAGCCCAGGGCAGGGCAGTGAGGGTAGTGGGGCAGTAGTGGGCGGGCGCCGGGGGTGTGGCAGGGTGGGGCAAACTGGCACCGACCTGGGTAGACGGGCATGGAAGATGTAGGAAAGGAGCCTGGGCTCTGAGGCTCCTGGAAAACTGGATTTATATTTGGGAGTGGGGGGCGAAGACGGAGTTATCGCCCCCTTCCCAACCATTTTTAATTGTGGCCGCCCCCCAGAAGCAGCGGTGGTGGTGGTGGGTGTGTGGGGGGGAAACAATAAGGCAACCATGCGCATGCGCGCAATGACCGTAACCCCCCCCCCTCCGCGCTCCCGCGACCCTCAATCCCCAGTAAAACCACGCTTGTACCCCTGCCCATCAAACACTCCCCGGGTAATTGTGGTCTGTGACCCCAAATGACGGTTGGTGCCTCGTTCCTCAAGGGAGCTTGAGGAGCTATGTAGTCGGAGTTGGGCGGCGGCACAAGGCTGTGCCAGAGCCCTGGTCACATGCAGCCCCGTGGTGTGTGGGGGTGTGAGGCGGCCCCTCCCAGAACAGGGCCTAGAGACGAGACACGCCCATCTTATGGAAGAGAGGGAGCCTGCCACCCCCCACCCCCACCACCGGCCCTAGTCTGATTTTGGTGGGGGCCAGGGGGAGGTTCAGATACAGGGTTGAGATTGGGTCTCTGGATCTTTGTTTTGGACTCTGTCTCCCGTGACTGCAATATCTCCTCCTCCAGTGACTCAGCCATTGGGTTACGGGTTACGGGTTACGGGTTACGGGTTACGGGTTACGGGTTACGGGTTACGACCCCCGTGGCTGCCCTTGGGAACGTCCCAGCGGGCGGAACGTGCGTAAGCCTTTCCTGTGGAGGACCCTCAGAAACCCTGGCTGTGCTTATTTGGACTGGGGTGGGGGGTGTGGCACCGGGAGCAGGTTGGCCCAGCTCTGCCGGTCTGTTTCTCCTTTACATTTATCATTAATCTTGGCCACAACCCTGAACACCGGAGAGTTCAAAATGTCCAACTTTTTGGGAGACTTGGGGTGAGTCTTTGCCTGTCATTTGTTTTGGGGTTTCTTTTCAAATCAAGCCCCTGCAAGAGAAGCTCCTTAGATGCAGCCTTTCTCTTGCTGGACCTGCTAGTCCTACATCCCAGAGCTGGAATTCTTGGATTATTTGTACATGCAAACATCCTCTTTAAAGGGCCTCTTCCTGGATTCAGCTCTGGCCCCACCCTTTCCACTGACTTCTAAATAATCCCACTCTTGAGAAATCTACTTTTTTTTTAAGTGGGGGGAGTTGTAGTTCATGTTGCTGCTGAAGGCCACCCACCTAACCTCTCCTTCCAACACTTTCCACTTGGTAAATACAGGATATCCTGTCCAGGGCAAGAATCTGATTGTAAGAGGCTGGATTCTGTGGGGAGAGCCCTCCCTGCCTCCTGATATCAGGGTTGACCCTGGTCTGTGATGGGCTGAGAGGTAGGCATTAGTGTGGGTAAGTGATGAGCCTTGTTCTAGGCCAGATCTGGGCCTGGTCACCACCCAGAGTGACCACTGCACTTTTCTTAGTCCTCCAGGGTGATTGCCGAGTCTGCCAATCCTGAGTTCTGGGGTGGAATGCTTTCATTCCCCACACTTCATCTCAGATCAGTGCTTGCAGGGAAAGATCCTAGCCTGCCCTCAGTCCTCCTTGGCGATGAAATGTGGGGCCTTGAGGACACGAAAAGGGTGTGTGGCAGAGTCCCATCCCCCTTCCCCATGGATTCCAAATCTCATTAATATACAGCATTCCCAGCATTCCTGGCAGGGACCAAGACAGACCCGGATTATCCCTGAGCAGCACCCACACCTCCCTCTTCACGCTCTTCAGAGAGTGAGGAGAGGCCTTTCTTTCTCCTGAGAATGCCCCCTTTTCCCTGCCCTAAGCGGGAGAGAAGGGTTCTGTTTTGTTTGCTCCCTTTCGTTCCTGAAAGGAGGCTCTCCTACAGGTGACTGAGAGTGAGGAAAATGCCTTTTGCTGGTGGGAGGGATTGTGTGGCTCTCCTTGCCCATCACGCCCCCCCCATCTCTGGGTGAAAGTGTCTTCTGGGCCCCCAGTGCTGGCTCAGATACTTTTCCTGAGGGTACCACACCCAGCCCTAACTGCTCAGAGATCTTTACCTGTGCTGTGGTATGGACCTTATCACATACTCCCTCTTCCTTCAGTTACTGGAATGGTGACCTCCCCTCCTAGTTACTGTTATTGTCATTATTATTATTCGCTAACAGTACTAAGTGTCTACTAGGTGGCCAACATTTGGCTAAAAAAATGACTAAATACTTTGTCACTTAATCCTCATAACTGCCCTATTTTACTGATAGGAAAACTGGAGCTCAAAAAGGTTAAGTAATTTTCTGTTTGCCCAATGTCTCATCAGTAAACAGTGGAGCCTGTTTTGTTTTGTTTAACAGAAGCAGTTTGATCTGTTCAACAATACTTTATGCTGCCCTAACTGTAAGCTTCTTGCATCAGGAACCTTAAATAATAGTGAAGTCTAATATCTGTAAAATGGAAATAAGGATAGTATCTACCTCAAAGAGTTGACCTAAGGGTTAATTGTTTACATATAAAGCACTTACAGTAGGTCCTGGACCTTGGGAAGTACTCAATAAAGGTAAGTTGTTACTGTTTTTTATGACATTATTATTATTATTATTATTACCATAACTACTGCTGCTCCTTCTGCTGCTACTTCATTACCAGGAAGAGAGCCTTGTACGTAACAGAAGGTCATAAATTGCCAATGGATGAATGAATGACTGAATCATACTCTTCTTCCATTCTTCAAGGTAGGGGACCGGGTGATGGTATTGATCCGTTCGGGCATGTGGCAGGAGGAGGTGACTGTGCCCTCAGCCCAGACCTTCCTGATGCCTGAGGCCATGACTTTTGAGGAAGCCGCTGCTTTGCTGGTCAATTACATCACAGCATACATGGTCCTCTTTGATTTTGGCAACCTACGGCCTGGGAACAGCGTTTTGGTACACATGGCTGCAGGTGACAGGCCCCTTTCCTTTACCCTCCTTCCTTACCTTACCCAGATTCCCTCCTAGGCCCCTTCTCTGCAGCACGTCTGGACTGTTGTCATGGTAACACCAGGCTGCCTTGGCCTATGGCGCCCAAGGCCTTGGTAGTATTGTTGCCGTGGCAACATTCAGGCACCAGATCCAGCCTGGTGTGCTATCCATAGCAACATGCCCTCTCCCAGCACCCCTTCCTTGCCAGCCACCCTTCGCACAATTCTCAATCACAGAAATTGGACATGAGAGGGGGGCAGAAAGCCTCCAAAAGAGCCCAGGCAAAATGAAAGTGATGGGATCGGTCTTTGAGAGGCAAGAATGAAGTGGTGGCTGGGTGACTCTATATCCCCTCCTTATGAAGGTGTCTTGCTGCAGGGGGTGTGGGTATAGCTGCCTTGCAGCTGTGCCGCACAGTGGAGAATGTGACGGTGTTCGGAACGGCCTCGGCCAGTAAGCACAACGTGCTGAAGGAGAACGGGGTCACATACCCCATTGACTACCACACGACTGACTACGTGGATGAGATCAAGAAGATCTCCCCCAAAGGTAGGGTAGTGTATGGGGTGGCATGGGACAGAGAGGCAGGTCTCCAGACTGGTGATTCTAACGCTGTTCCTGGCTCCCCTCATTCTGTGACAGGCGTGGACATCGTCATGGACCCTCTGGGTGGATCAGATACTGCCAAGGGCTACAACCTCCTTAAACCCATGGGCAAAGTGATCACTTACGGTGAGTCAGTTGGCTGGAATGGAGAGGGAAAGGGGAAGCAGAGTGGGATATAGGGGCCCAGGGCTTTTGAGTGAAGGCAGGGACCCAGGTGCTCTAGGAAGAGTGCCAGAATTAGAATGTTCATTCAGATTGCTGCCTCCTGGGCGCAGCTACTGTCATTTTCTTTCACAACCTTTCATGTGAATCATAGTAAATTTTGTGCTCTTTCTGTGCTCCTGATTGGGGATTATTCCTGATGCAAAATCAACCAGTCTGCCTTCTTCTGTCCTACCTTCCTGGGCTTCTTGGGGTAGCTGCATTTTCATTTTAAAAACTACTTTATATACCTTAAACTAATATAAAATAATATTGAATGTAAACTGTAATTGAAAAATTAAAATTAAAAAACCATTTCAGATAAAAATAAAACATAAAGATTAGAACAATTTTTGAGTTAGAAGGAGTCTTTTTGGACCTGGTGGCCTGCAGATGGGGGATTACCCTGTCACTTCCTGGCACTGCTGTGGATAATTATAAGGGGCCCACAGTGGGCAGATGAACATGGATCCAGACACCCAGGGATGTGCCTGGCACCTGGGTTCACAGGCTGTGTCTCCTTGTCTCTCAGGAATGGCCAGCCTAGTGACAGGCCCCAAGCGGAGCCTGATGGCCATGGCACGCACATGGTGGAATCAGTTCAGCGTGACAGCTCTGCAGCTGCTGTCGGCCAACCGAGCTGTGTGTGGCTACCACCTGGGCTACCTGGATGGTGAGGTGGAGCTGCTCAATAGGGTGGTGACCCACCTCGTGACTCTGTACAATCAGGGCCACATCAAACCTCACATTGACTCTGTGTGGCCCTTCGAGAAGGTGAGTGTGCTGGCTCTGCAGGGAGGGCCTGGGTAGGACCCTGGAAGCTTGGGGTCACGGGGGTAGGATTCCTGGGAGGAGGGGAGCCGCCTCCTGTAGGCTGAGTCTCTGGAGGGGCTGGATGGCACTGGGAGCAGAGTCTTGCCTTCCTCTTCAGGTGGTGGATGCCATGAGGCAGATGCAGGAGAAGAAGAATGTGGGCAAAGTGCTCCTGGTGCCTGGGCCAGAGAAGGAGAACTAGGACGGGGGCTGGGAGACCCCCAGGACCCGGGAAGAGAGAAGCTGGGAAGCCACGTGACTGCCCCATACCCTCGCATTTCATCCTTTGTCGTAATGCTCTGCCCTCTCTCCCCCAAAGGTCTGTGGTGATGACCTCCCCCATGCCCTGTTCTTTCTCTTTAGCCAGGGCTGCCCCCTCCCTCCTTCCTGCCCTCTGAAGAGGTTGGGAAGTGACCACTTGGATGTCTGGGCCCTGCCAAGGGGACAGGGAGGGACAGAGGGAGACCGGCTGCTTCCTGCCCCCACCCTTTCCCCGGGCCTGCTGTGCTGCTTTTGTGCCAAGGCTAGCCAATCCCTTCCCGTTCTGTTCTACGTGCTTCCGCCTCTGCCTCATCTCCCCTCCTGCCCCTGCCCCACTACCTTCCCCAAAGAATTGAAATGTCAGCTCAGGATATGGGGCCAATCTGTGTGAGTCCAGCATGTCCCTGTTTCGCCCTAGTGTCCCTTCAACCTGGGCCGACCAGCGCCCACCTCTGAATTCTTTGCCTTGTTGCATGGCCTTGTCTTCTCGTCCCCAACTTCTTAAGCACAACTGGGCTTCGTCCACCTCCAGGTTTTCTGCCACTCTTAACCAAGGTTGCTTCTTACAACAAGGGCAGGAATCACACCTGCTCCCCTAGGTCACAACCCTGTGGGAGGGACACAGAGCACCCCCTTTCCTTCACTGAGTTCTCTGGATCTGTTCTCAGTGCCTTAGCAATGGAAAACCTGTGCTTGTGTATGGGGGTGGGGGTCCCTGTCTCGCACCTCCTTTTCTACCCCTGTACTCCCCAGTGCCTTCCTTGTTCTGGTGGAGCTGGGATTTTGCTGCTCCCCAGTCCCACAACACTGCCAAAAATCTGTGTGTGTGCCAGTGTGGGGGGTGGGGGCAGCCCCAAGCCTCCTGGGTTCCGTGCCATGTCCTGTCTCTCTCTGGGCTCCCATTTCTCTATCAGTGCTTGAGGAAAAAGAGGTGGGGAAGTTTTCTCAGCCTTGCAGATAAGTGTGGCATTTACCAGCCAGAACTCCGGGAGGCAATGCTGTTTATTCCTTATTCTGGGACCAAAGTAAAAATTAAAGCACATCCCCGTGCTGTCATGGGAGGGCCCCTGCCCCCTGCCCTCTCAGAGCAGGGAGGCATCGTTTCAAATTCAGCCCCAAACTTTGTTTACATGGGTGGGGAGATGGAGCAGGGGAGTAAAAAGGGGCAGGGAGGGTGGCGCGGGTTAGGACCTGGGCCTCTGGAACCAAAGTAGGGACTTCCTGGGGTAGGGGTGTAACTCCCTCTGCTCTCTGAGCTGGAATTAGGAAGGGTTATTGCCCCAGCCATTGCCAATGGGAGGTGGCAGGGAGGGGCTCAGCCTCTTCATTGTCCAAATGAGGCCTAAACGGTGTGAAGTGCGACTTCTGCTTTTGTGTACCCCACCCCATTACCGAAGCTGCCTTTGTGTTTGTGTCAATAAAAAGCCAAACCCTGGGTCCTGGATATTGCCTCTGAGAGCTGAGGGAAGGTGAGCTGGTGAAAGGCTAGTGCTGATAGTGGAAGGTTAGGGTTTCTGCCCTGTCCCCGGCCTCCTTCAAGACCCAAATCAAGTTTCCTTTCATGAAATGAAATGAGGAAGAAGATCACGCCATGCAGGCACTTTTACTGTTCTGGGGCAGTGTTTCACAAGTCAGAGGCCTGCCCTCTGTTGACTACCATGATGTCGCTCATCCGCATGCACCCAACCCCAGCCCACTTTGAGAACCTTGGCAGAGAGGTGGAGGGTGATGAGACAGGCTCCTAGCTCGACTGGGTGGTGAAGACCGCCAGGCCTCGCTTTCCTGGCGGCACGACTGTCAGGGCCTCCACCTCCCCTCCCCCACGGGTGGGCTTCTGGAAGTGGATCTGCAGGACATCCTGCAGCTCCGGGCCATCCAGGACATCGGGAATATTGAGCACCAGCACTGACTGGGGCACTGGCTGGGACTTGATCTGGAAAAGAAGTCCAGAGATGAGCAAGGGCTCATGAGAGTCAGGGGCTGGGGGCAGAGGTTAGAGCAGGTAGTACCCATGGGAGTATGGGAGGGGCAAGAGGCTGGTAGTGGGTAGGTCACTGGGATTTGTGGGTTTGTATCCTTTCTTGGGCAAGCTTCTGGCAGGCAGGCAGGCTACCTGGCCCAGCCCCCATTCTCCACCTTTTTACTTACCTCTGCCTTCTGAATCTCTCCGCTCATATAGGGAGAGACTTTCAGAGGGAACTGCTGTCCACCCAATGGCACTGTGAACTGGCCAATCCGGCACAGGTTCTGGGCCACTGCAGGGACAGGAAGGGGTAGACCTTTAGCATCAAGAGCTTTTCTCCTCCGGGGCCTGATGTATCTGCCCTAATCTCCCTGATAGGGCCCTTACCTTCATCCTTAGCAAAGCCCAGCATGACACCCCCATGCAGCAGCTCCCGTGTCTCCACATCACCACCCCCATTCTTGCTCTTGCCAAAGAAGATCTCCAGCTTGTCCAGCAGCTCCTCCTCACTCAGCTTTAGCCCAGCAGGAAACCCACTGACCAGCACTCTGTGGCTACTCATTTGGCTGGACACCTAGGGGTAGATAAGGAGTGGTTCCAGGCACAGTCCAACTCCCTAGTGCCCAGGTGCATGGCACCCCCTGCATGTCCCAAAGACGCTGCTATTCTATCACCTGGATGGTTGTCACTACAGGTAGCTCCAAGGGTTGGACCTGCACCCGCAGCCGGCACTCTTCCATGTCAATCTCATGCTCCTTTTGTTGTAGCACCTGCTTGGCCACTGGGTGGGGAGAGCAGGATCAGTACTGGGAAGCCTCCCAGCCTCCCTCCCAAGGTTTCCCAGAGAGCTCACCTTTGGGGTCATCAAAGGTGATTAGAGCAGAGCCTCCGGGTAGAGGGTAACAGATCTGCAGGTTGGAAACCAAAGACTTGGGCATTTCCATGCTCTGCTGAGTGTGTCCTCGGAACACTACAGGGACTTCAGGCACTGGAAATGGGACCTGGAGATGGGGAGAGGAGGCTGATGTAGCCTTCAAGGGTGGGAGAGCTCCCCACTCCCTCCTAGGAGGAAAATGTCCCCAGTTCCATGTTGACACTGCATGCAAGGGATGAATACATTTATTATTGGAAGAAGAGCTGAATAAATGATTGGATGAAAGCAGGTGAAGCCTGTTCTGGCACTTTACATACAAGATCTTAGTTTGTCCTCACACAAGCCTGTGAGAGAAGTAGCTTTACTTTACAGATGAGAAAACAGATTCAGAGAGTTCAAGTAACATACTCTAGGTCACACAGCAAGGAAGTGGCAGAGCCAGGAGTGAAACTAAGAACTCTCCAGCTCTTTCTACCAAGCCACACCCATTCTCCCAGCTTACCTCTACTTGGGGGGAGTTCCTGAGCTCCCTTTTCAGCTGCTGCAGTTCTTGCAGCCTCATCTTTAGTACAGCCTGCTCCTCCAGAAGGGTGTGGAATAGGTTCCCTCTGAAGAGTGCCTGTTAGAGCAGAGGGGAACAACCAGATATCCACTGGCCTTTCCAGACAATGAATGATCCCAGGGGAAGGGGGTTCCTACTCTGGACTATCCAGGAGCAGAATTGATGCTCAGCCCAATAACAGCCCAACCCCTTTACTGGGCCTTGGGCTGGTCCTGGTCCCCTCTACTCAAGATTTGGTGGCCTCAGACACTCTGAAGGGCTGGAACCTTTGCAGCAGCTATGGCTGGTTTATTATTGAGACCTAGAGTTTAACAAACACTGATTGAGCTCCTGCTGTGAGGTGCTGGGTACGGACACAAGGCAGTGAAAGACCAGGGTTTAGCCCTCAGGCCTGTTACAAAACAGAACCCAAGACTGCACAATCACATGACTGACTGTGAAGGACAGCAGGAGTTTGGAGGAGGGACAGTCGCAAAGAGGTTAACACAGCTAGGGAGACCCCCAGGAGGAATGGGTGCTGAGAGTTGCAAAATGTCATAATACTATTAGCTCACACATATTAAGCATTAACATGTCAGGCATTGTGTCACGCCATTTATTTTTTCAAATGATAAGAGAAAGTTTATTTAGAAAGTTACAGAGGTAGTAGAAGTGAGCCAGGGGGCTGCATAGGCTCAGGAAACAAGTTACAGAGACAGAAGAAGGGTCGCTGGAGCTTAGGAGAGAGAAAGGCGAAGGTAACTCGCCCAGAGGGAAGGAGAGGAGGAAGGGAAAGCACAGGCGTGCTCCTGAGAGGCAGGGCACCTGTGCTAAGCCATTTATACAGATTATATCACTCAGTTCTTCCAGCAACGCTCTTGTCCTTATGTCCTTATTTTACAGATGAGGAAACCTGAAGCTCAGAGAGGTCAGTGACTTGCCTGAAGTAATTCAGCCCTAGGCAGTCTGACTCCACACTGCTAATTTCTGCTTTACAGTGAAGAAATCAAGCCCAGAGTTGGGGAGTAATTTACCCCACATCTCCCAGCTTGTCCCTTGACTGCCACTCTTTCCATTGTTCCAAGCAGCCTTTCAGGCTGAGTGTAATTTGGAGCAGGTCCAGAGAGAGGGCTGACAACCCAGGCAGGGGAATGACACCAGGGATATGAATAAATGCACCTTTGTTTGTGGGTTGGAGCAGACGTTAGCTGGCATAGTTCACCCTGTGGTTGGGAAGCCTGAAAATAAGGTCAGCCAGAGTCTAAGTGTAAGCTCACTTGGGGTGACAGGACTCTGTCCTGGCCTTCTCTGTATCTCCGATGCTCAGCAGAGTTCCTGGTACAAAACAGGCATTCGGCAAATATGTGTTGAATGAATGAATGAAGTGAATGAATAATAGGACGGAAGCATATTACAGAGGGCATTAAAGACATTCAGTGAGTTCACTCTTATTTTAAGCAGGAAAACCAGGGCTTGAATAATGCAGGTTTATGAAAAGTGAGAAAGGTACCTCATTGTTTATATTTCTGTAAACAAGGGGTTGTAAACTCAGTGCCAGTTAGATGACATCAATGAGTCAAGGGAGCCAGTATAGTATGACAGGGAGTGGTGGGGGCTCTGACAAACTGGAGAGAGCATATCCGCTCTAAAGTGGCAACCTCGCCCGGCTGGCATGGCTCAGCAGTTGAGCATCAACCTAGAATCCAGGAGTTCGAGGTTCAATTCCGGTCAGGGCACATGCCCAGGTTGCAGGCTCAATCCCCAGTCGGGGACGTGCAGGAGGCAGCCGATCAATGACTCTCATCATTGATGTTTCTATCTCTCTCCCTCTCCCCTCCTCTCTCTGAAATCAATAAAGATATATTTAAAAAAATTTTTTAAAAAGTAAAGTGGCAACCTCTTTTTAGCTCTAACCAAGTTTTTTCACATGGTAATGTGGTTCCAGTATCCCGTATCTCCCCATTTTTAAGGGAAATCAGAAATCTGGATTTTTATTTGAAAAAGATGGCTCGTTGTAAAAAATATATGAAAAATAAAATACATTAGTGGGCTGGATTCAGTCCATCCTCTTTTTACTTCTGCTTAAAATCTTGATCCAATTATACATAATTGAGAATCTAGTAATTGGCAATGCTATTTAATAAATAGCTTAGACCCTAGCTGGTTTGCTCAGTGGTTAGAGTGTTGGCCTGCGCTCTGAAGGATTCCGGGTTCAATTCTAGCCAAAGGCACGTACCTCGGTTGCAGGCTTGGCCCCAGTCTGGGCACGTGTGGGAGTCCACCAATTGACATGTCTCTTTCACATAGATGTCTGTCTCTCTCCCTCTCTCCCTCTCTCTCTCCCTTCCTCCCTCCTTGAAAAAGAAATGGAAAAAAAAAATCTTCTGGTGAGGATTAAAAAATATATATATATAAAAATAAATAAAAATAGCTTAATAAAAATAAAGAATAGCTTTATAAATAGAGTATTTTAAAGAAAAATTCAAGCAGGGGAGTTTAGATGTGATATCAGCAGGAAATGGGGAACTAGTGAAGATTTCTGAAAGGGAGAGTGACGTGATGGATGTGGTGTTTAAAAGAGATCCTGACAATGTTGGCAGGATGAGCTGGGGCAGGAACTGTAGCGTGAGGGGAAACAAACCCAGGCTCCATGACTCTAGTTCCTACCCATGTGACAGGAGCTGACCTGGGCCTCTAGCAGGAGGCAACAAAGGAGCACATGCGGCTGAGTACATTTCACGAGGAAAAGCTCCCAGACTCTGTGGATGTTTGTATTAAGGAGACAGAGGGAGTGAAGCGGAGAGATGATGTCAGGTTGCAGACCTGGGTGCCCCAGAGTTTGGTATAATGCCATTGATCTAGAGGGCAAGGAAAGAGAGCCAGGCCTAAATGCCAGGCAAAGTTGGATTCTATCTCATTTAACTATCACAAAACTGTCCCCTGTCTCCAACTCCCAATTGGAACTTGTCTCTACAGCACTCTCTTAAGGGTAACACAGGCCAATTGTAGTCACTTAACTTGAATTCAACTCTACAGGCTATTTATTTATACAAGATAACAACATGGTCTCTAAATGTAAGCCATGCCCTGGCCAGTGTGTCTCAGTTGGTTCAGCATCGTCCTGTGCACCAAAAGATCGCTGGTTTGATTCCCGGTCAGGGCACATGCCCTGGTTTTGGGATCAATCCTCAATAGGGGTGTGCAGGAGGTAGCTGATGGATGTCTCTCTCTCACATCAGATGTTTCTCTCTTGATTTCTCTCTCTTCTCTAAAATCAATAAAAACATATCTAAAAATAAATGCAATTCACTGTCCATCTGGTGCTCAACTGAAAAAACTTGCAATCTAATCTATATTGAGCTCATTGAGAGACTGTAAATTCTGGATACTTTTGGGGTAAGTTCATGATTTAAAGTTAATTTTGACTACATACATTCTTCCGCCCTACTTGCTGAGTTTAGAACCTCACCACCCTGTAAAACCTCATGATAAAACCTCATGCTATCTATGTTCATCTCGGGAGTATTAGGAGGTAGTTTAGCATGACAGTTAAGAGCACAAATTCTGCGGCCAAACCTCTGGGGTTTGTACATTAGCTCCTTTTACTACTGCAAGTTTTTAAACTCTCTGTGCCCTGGTTTCCTCACCTGTAAAATGGGCATAATAGTAGTTTCCACCTGTTTTTACTTTTTTTAATCATCCTAGGATAAGTTTTTATTGATTTTAGAGAGAGAGGAAGGGGGAGAAAGAGAGAGAGAAACATCGATCGGTTGCCTCTTGTACCTGCCTGGACTGGGGATCGAACCCACAACCTAGGTATGTGCCCTGACTGGGAATTGAACCCACAACCTTTTGGTGTACAAGACACCGCTCCAACCAACTGAGCCACCTGGCCAGGCACCTGTATTTAATTTTGTTTGGAAGTGGTACCTGGCACATAAATGCTTTGTTGCATGTTTTCTATTTTAATAAAATCCACTTTATAGATGAGGAACCTGAGGTTCATTAAGGTTAACTAATGGGCCAAAGTAAGTCAAACCCAAGGCTATTGAACGCACATGAGGTCAGAGACAGGACGTGGTGGATAAGACTCTGGGTTAGAACAGCATGTGGAGATAGTTGAAGCCAAGAGGATGGAAGAGCTTTCTGAGGAAAAGAGCCTTAAAAATGTAATCTTCGAGGCTATCTGGTCAGGGATCAGGAGACAATGCAGAGAAGAAACAGAAGACTGGTCAGAGATAAGCAGGGTCAGGACCAGGATTGGGAAATGTCAGACAGAAAGGGGGAGGAGGGATGAAACTGAGCTGCAAGGAAATGGCTACCAGAAGGCCCCTCGCTCACTGCTCACTTGCCTGCTCACTCTCAGCGATTAGCATCTACCGTCTGCCAGGCCCCGCTTATTGCCAGGCCCAGTTCTAGGCTCTGGAGATATGGAAGCGAACAAAACAGACAAAACTTCCTTGTGGAATTTACACTCTAGGGACAAGCCAAGCAATAAGCAAAATAAGTAAAATATACATTATATCAGTGATAAATGTTATGGATAAAAACAAAAAGAAGGGAGGACATAGAATGTTGAAGGACAGTCTTATTTATTTTTTTAAAAAATATGTTTTTATTGCCCATCCAGGTGTGGCTCAGCGATTGAGCATCGACCTAGGACCCAGGAGATCATGGTTCGATTCCTGGTCAGGGCACAAGTTATGGGCTCGGTTCCTTGTCAGGGTGCGTGCGGGGATGTTTCTCTCCCATTTCGATGTTTCTCTCTCCCTCTCCCTTCCTCTCTCTCTAAAATCAATAAAAACATATTTAAAATATTTTTTTAAAAAGATGAGGAATGAAAATGACCACTGAGATTGAGCGACAAAAAAAAGTCCTGGTCAAAAGTTCATGTTCAAGAATTCTTATTATTGTAGCTTTGTTTATTTTTTATTTATTTTCTAAATATATCTTTATTGATTTCAGAGAGAGGGAGAGAGAGAGATAGAAACACCAATAATGAGAGAGTCATTGATTGACTGCCTCCTGCACGCTCCCTACTGAGAACTGAGCCCAAAATCTGGGCACGTGCCCTGACTGGGGATTGAACCGCGATCTCCTGGATCCTAGGTTGACGCTCAGGCACTGAGCCACGCAGGCCGGGCTGCAGCATTGTTTATAATAAAAAAAAGAAAATGTCCAACCACAGATGAATAGCTAAATAAATATAAAATATCATGTAGCAATTAAAAGACATTAATGAAGAACATTTAACAACATGGAAAAATGCTCACAATAAGGCAAAAAAGCAAAATATGAAACTATACATAATGTTGGATCCCTATTCTGTTGATTTAAAAACTTTTAATTCATAAGGATATTTATTAATGCATAAAAATGCATTTAAAAACCCTGGGAAGAGACACCAAAATGTTATTAATAAAGGTGGTCTCTCAATAACGAATTTAGTGTGATTTTAAAAAGTTTCCTGAACCCACCTTCCTTCTTTCCTTTTTAATATGTAAAGGCCCTTTAAAGGAGGTTTAGCAGAGACGCAGGCATGAGGTGGGGGTGAGTCAAGATGGTCCTGGGGAACTGGGGTTCTGAAAAGGTGGGTGATAATATTAACAATAATGAACATGTACTGAGCACTCAGCATATGCCAAGCAGTGTGCTAAGTTTTTACTATATTAATTTATGGATTATCTAGTTTGATTCTTGCAGGTAAGTATTCTTATGAGGAAGCTTTGCTATCTATCATTTTCATTTTATAGATAAGGCAATGGGGCTTAGGTGACAACTTTAAAATGGCTAATTTGCTCAGGGCCACACAATTGTAGGAACCAGGTTTAAAATCAGGCAGGTTGGCCCTAGCCGGTTTGGTTCAGTGGTTAGAGCGCCAGCCCATGGACTGAAGGGTCCTGGGTTCGATTCCAGACAAGGGCACGTACCTCAGTTTTAGGCTCGATCCCCGGTGTGGGAGGCAACCAATCAAAGTGTCTCTCTCACATGGATATTTCTCTCTCTCTCTCTCTCTCTCCCTTCCACTCTCTCTGAAAAAATATCCTCAGGTGAGAATTAAAAAAAATAAAACCAGTTAGGTTGGCTTCAGAGACTGCGGTCTTAAGGGGCAAATGAAAAATTTCTAAGTGAGAGATCATCATATTTGTAATGGGGTAGAATCAAGGAAGAAAAGACTGAAGAAACTGGGGAAGGGATGAGATTCGTTGATTCAACAGCCGTTTATTGAGTGTCCACTGAACGCCAAGAACAGTGCTAGGTACTGGGGTCAAGTGTGAACAGGCTAGACTGGGGGCCGGTCCTCACAGAGCTTAGTCTGGCAGGAGTGTGGGTGTTCACAGGTCAGGAAATGGTGGGCCACAACAGGCAGTGGGAGGCTAACCGTCAGAGGCGGCGCACTTCTTTCTCTGACCTGGAAGAGGGCCCAAGGTTGAGATAGAAGTATGAGGAGGAGAATTTGTTGGGGAAGATCTCAGGAAATAAGAATGTGAGCATCTTTTTCTTTTCTTTTCTTTTTAAAATATATCTTTATTGATTTCAGAGAGAGGAAGGGAGAGAAACATCAGTGATGAGAGTCTACATTGATCAGCTGCCTCCCGCACGCCAACTGGGGACAGAGCCCAAAACCGGGGCACATACCCTGACCAGGAATCGAACCACAATCTCCTGCATCCTAGATCGATGCTTAACCACTGAGCCACGCCTGGCTGGGCAGCATTTCTTAATTTTTAAAAAGAATATTCTTGTATGTACCCTGACTGGGGATTCAACCAGTTGAACAATGCTCTAACCAACTGAACTATCTGGCCAGGGCCTTAAATGTTTAAGAATCATCATGAGAGCAATTCTTAAAATTTTAGATCACAGAACCCTTTAAGTATCTAATGAAAATTACGGATTCTCTCTCCAGAAAAATGCATTCACACAAGGAATTCATCAGCTCCTGAGGTGCAGGTTATATAGACTTGTCTTTGAGGCAGTGGGTTAGGGAACTAACTCCACTGGGAAAAGGAAATCCCAGCCACACTTGAGATCGACTGGGAGAGGCTTGACCACCCAACACTGCCAAGTAGAGTGCTTCTCTGCTTCTCCCCACCCCCAACACCCTCCTTCTCACTTACGGCATCTTGAGTCACTGACATAGGTCTGGGATCTGGTTGGCAAGAGCCGAGTCTTCAGAACTGGAAACAAAGTGGCAGAATCCACCCGACTGAACTCTTGATTCTACCTTCTGAGCTTGATCTCCCCCAGCAGAGCCTGAAAAGCACTTCAGACGGTTCTGCCTGCAGGCTCTTTGCTTCCACTTTCATTTCAGCTAAATCCCTGCCCATTGGTGCTCACGTGCCCTCCACTGTTTTTCCCCCACCCTTGGGAGGAGCCTTCCAGGTCTCCAGTTGACTTCCCGCAGCTATGAGGCCTCAGGGGGAGCTACTTTACTAAATGCAAATGAATCCTGACCCCCATCAACCATGCCCAGCCAGTTAATCCCACCAGAAGCCCGCAGGTAGATTTTTGTCTGCTTTGTTAAAGGGTATTTCCCTAGAGCCCAGAATATAGGCACACGCAGTCTTTGATAAAACAACTGAGTAACAAGTGCAACAAGGACAAAGTGCCCCCTCTCCTGCCATCAAGTTCACAAAGCTGCCGTAACAGCAGTTGTTGAGAGCTGCACCAGTATGTGCCCAATACTGGTTCTGCTTTGCATAAACTCAATCTTCAAACCCCTCTAAATTCTAGTTTCCCGATTTTACAGATGAGATACTAAACCTCTGAAGTACAGGGGTATATAAACTTGCCCAATGTCACATTACAGGAAGTGAAGCATGTATCCAAACCTGGTTGGACAGTGTTTGAACTTGGGCTTTGAGGCAGAGTGAGAACTTGAATTTTTAGTCAAAGCAGGGTTTAAATTCATTTCCATTTGTGACTGAGTAGACAAACTCACAGGGAGTGTCTTGAGATGCCCAATACTTAAAGGTGAGAGGAGCCAAATTAAAGTACATAAAAGTTATGTTCCCTAGTATTTTCACCTAGCCCAGGGTTTTCATACCAAGAATAACTTACTGAGCCCCTTTCTCACAGTCCCCCACCCCAGGTGGAAGTATGCCAAGTGCCTCAGGCTTGGTAAATAGGTCTCTAGATCCTAGTTTCATCTAGTGACCTGGAGAGCCGACTGCATCCATAAAACAGGGCCACAAGTATCCCAAGCCCCCTTGAAACACACCCTTTCTTGCCAGTCTCTGCTAGCCAGGCTTTTAGGGGACCTCTCCCAGGACCCACTAGGAATGGCTGCTCTGGGCCTCTGTCCCCACCCAGTGTGGTCTCATCAGAGCACCAGTATCACTAGACAACTTGCTAGAAATTCTTACCAACTAAATCTAAATCATAGGGTGGGACTCTAGTTTGACAAACCACCGTGCTAAGGTTTGAGAACCTCAGGTTAGCTCTCAGTCCAAAGTAGCCAGTGCCCACCCACTCAGAGGGGCACTTGGTTGTCACAGTTGGTGGTGAGTGGCTCAGGTTCTTTAAGTACATAATGAGCTGAAGCCAGGGATGCCCAAAAACTCTGCATCTAAAAATGTCAGCAGTAGGCCTTTTGGGAAGTTTAGTAGGTCACTTTACCCACTGAGAGCAGCCAGATCACTAAAAGATTACCAAGCCGAGGACTAGTTTGTTTCACAAAGGAAGATTAGCTTTTATATTTTTGTATTTTTCCACAGTCCCTCATCCACCAGTCTTTCATCTTATGACTGTTCTCCTTTCCCAGATTAACAATTCATGCAACAGGCAGACATGGGTATTTTTTTAATTTTTAATGACTGAAACAAAAAAGCTCTAAAACCGCAGCTTCTGGAAGAACCATTTGTTCTTGCCGGTCTTGTATCTAGAGGAGAAAAAAGGACACCAGTAAGAGGAACACAGTAACAAATTCCCTTCATGGGAATTAGGAACACCATACCCCAACATCCACCGTCAAAGCCCAACTTACCTCTCTTCGAACTTGACCTTGGCCTCCCGTCGGGCCTTGCGTTTCAGAGCAGGGTCTCTGAAGACATCCTTGTTGACAACAGTTTTGTCCAAGGGGATATCCACAGAGTACCTGGGGACAATGGTGGGGAGGTAGGATCAGCCAGTGTGCTGCCAAGGCCTTCAAAGTCACCCAAGTCCTCCTGGGACACTGGAATACCAGGATCTGACTCCATAGGAGTAATCAATAAACGCTGTTCCAAAGTCCTGACGATAGTTTTTGGAAATCTCCAATGTTAACAGACTCATTTACATAGATCTAAGCCACCGGAAAACTTCAAAATTCAATCTTAATTTTCCCAACTACTCATTTTCTAGCTAAGAACCATCACTGTATTAGAACTTTACTTTGATCCCAGTGGGTGGCTAACTTTCTATTTGGAGCCACTGTACTTAGTACTGTTCAAGTTCTGCCTAGGCAGGGTGTCCCATTATGACAATGCAAAAGCCAGGGCGGCTAGCTACTTCAATCTTGCAGCTTTCCAGCACCTGAGAAATGGCTCTGCTATTTTAGGCTAGCAAACTAAGGCACATGCTGCTGAGTTGTGACAATTATTGCTCAGGACTTTCAAATCTTGTATTCTTTTATAACCCTTACATCAGAATGGTGTATGCACCACACAATACTGTGAAAGGCCAGGAACTAAAGGGCCAGGTAGTCAAGTGAAATTGAGGGAGACTCGCTCTCATTTGTTCACCACTTTTGACAGCTTATAATAGCTATTCATGAGAATGGAACAATGGAAGAAGGCAGGCTAGATTCCATGCCTGTGTTTACTGTGGATGGAAACAAATCTTTACTCAACACTTAGAAAGATGAAGAGCAAGCTCAGAAGAGATTTCCTCCCACAATGGAATGGCTGTAGAGTTGTCTCCTTATGGGGGTGGGGTTGTCACATTTATTCCCATTCTTGAAATGCTCACCTCGTTGGCATGAGGTGATTGTAGTTATAAACTTTCACAAAAGACTTGATCTTTGACCTCTTGGCAATTTTCTTCTTGCCCATGGCAGCTGTCACTTTGCGGGGATAGCGGTCAATTCCAGCCACCAGAGCATGGCTGTAGGGGCGATCTGAGGTGCCATCGTCAATGTTCTAAACGAGCAAGAATTACATTTGTTATCAACCTACGGCATACTTAGGCCCCGTGCTAGATGTAGGTACGGCATGTACAGAAAGGTTACCCCCACCCACAGGTCTCTGAGACCTACTATCTTACAGAGAAAAACCACACAAAACAGACACTAAGTGCTATGCTAGATGCCCAAAGAGTAGTAAGGGTCAGGGTGTGGTATTCATGCTGCCCAGGAAGAATCTGGAAAGGCTTCTGGGAGGTCAGAGATTTTAAAATAACAACAGTTAACATTTATGAAGTGCTTGCTACTGCCAAGCACTGGTTCTTAAGACTTTATAAGTCTTAACTTCCTCTAGGATTCCACTGCTAGTAAGGGGTAGCGGCAGGATTCCAAAACTGGCAGCCTAACTCCAGAAACCAGTCTCAAGTAGGAGAGGGAAGGGGAATCAGGAATACCAGCGTCCCCCAAACAGCTAAAAGCAGTGCTGTTATGTGGTCACAGTTTAGGGACAGTTCAACAGGCTAAAAGATGCAGGTAAAAGGCAAATAGTGAAGCGCTAAAATATGCTAAATGACCATTTTTCAGTAGAAACAACTTCTGCATTTTCTGCAGAATCCCAGCAGCAGCACTTACTACCTGTTTAACTTCAGGTAAGTGAACATCTCTAAACCTCAGCAGTAGAAAGGAATCCTCGATGGTTACTGCAAAGATTGGCCATGAAAACACCTGTAAGGCCGTGTGCCAGGCACCAAACAAGCGTTGAATAAATGTTGGCCAATATTATTATTTAAAGTCTCTTTGGTAGAGGACGCGTTCTGTGTTAGGTGCCCAATTCGACTCGTTTTTATTTTCCATCTTCCAAAAGCCATCAAGCATTCACCCCACCCCTACACGCAATGTTCAATGGCTCAACTAGTTCTTGGATTCCAAGCTTGCCGTCCTCCGAAACCGGCCGATCGCGGGGAACACGGGGTTAGAGGCTCGCGAGGATAGTACCTTCACGATGACCGCTTTGCGTCCGGAGTAGCGTCCGGCCAGGACCAGCACCACCTTCCCGGGTTTCATAAACTTGCCCATTTCTGCAGAGAGGAACAAGGGGGCCACTCAGAAATTCGCAAGCCCAGGCTGCGGGCTCGGAACTTCAGGCTGCGCTTACTATCCTCTTGGCCCAGGCCGCCCGCAGGCCCCGCTCACAGGACTCTGGCTACGAAGCCGCCGGAGACCGAGGAATGGAACGGACTCGAAACCGCCCCACAACTCGACCCCCAAGCCGCGGATGGCGGCAGATTGGAAGACCCTCCCCAGGCATCTCTACTCACCGAAGGTAGCCACTCGGGCCTAGAGCAGAAAGGAAAGAAACGCACTTCCGCTAACCTTTCACCCCGGGGAGGTGACCTCACTTCCGGTACCGCCCCTTAAGCCTCGGCCCGCCTATTGCGGGGCGCTCAGACTCTGAGTTGCTGGCGGAAGAAGCTACTGTGGGGAAGGCAGGTCCTGGCCGCTCACTTATTCAAATCAAACTTTATTAGCAGATCCAGCAGTAGAAAAGAGCCGAGGAGAGCAGTCCATCGCGTACGGATGAAAGAGCAAGGAAGGCTTGTACGCTCGCGGCCTTGTGGTTCAGCTGCTCCGCTGCCTCTGTAGTTCCTTTCTGTGGCGCTAGGAGGGGGACACAGTTTGAAATTTGCTTTTTTGCCTTGGAATAGTCAGGAACAAAATAGGACATTTTTTTTAGTGCCCACTGTGTGAACTGTTGTTAGTCGTAAGGAGGGAGAGACGAACACCAAGCAAGCAAGGGTACTTGCCCCCAACATTTAGAGTTTCCTGATGTTATAGACATTACAGATTAGAACAAGGAGGTGAAGGACGATGGCGACAGCAGCTGTTTACCCTGTACCAAGTCGCGGTAATCTATTTACGTGTATTCTCTCATTTGATCCTCATCACAACACTAGGAGATAGGTACTATTCTCTCCATTCTCCAGTTGAAGAAACTGTGTCTTAGAGAAAGTAATTTGCCCAAAGTTCACAGCTAGTAAGTAAGTGGTGGAGCTGGAACACACTCAAGCAGCCCTGCTGAGCCTATACTGTTTACCCTGTCACCATACTGTAGGTAAGTCGATAGCCTATTTAATTCTCACAACTCTGAATCTTGGCTATTTTCTTCCCATTGAGACATGAGGAAACAGATTCAGAGAGGGTAAGTTACCACAGGTTGAGCCTGATCAGT